CCTTATTCCTCCATCTTCATTGCTAGGTTTATGTGCAAATTTTTTTTTGTTAACAATAAACTTTTTTTTTCTGCTTATCCATGCTTAAAATGTTTAAAACAATTGAAACTTTCAAAAAAAAATTTAAATTAGTTTCCTCATCAAAAACTATTGAACCGAAGTATAATATTTTGATCGGGTTGGATTTTTAAACTCACATTATTTTTTTTCAACTAAGAATATTTTAGTCATTGCATATTTTAAATTAATAATAATATGGGGTTATTTGAAAAAACTAGAAAGATAAAGGGGGTTTTGTGAGACACCCGATAGTGAAGGGGGATTTAGTCATATTTTGAAAGTTGAGAGGGTTATCTACAACATCCTCAAATTTGATTCTTCGCCTCCACGTCGGGTTTTTCACCTCCACGTCTGATTTTTTATTTCCGCAGATTCCCCCCCCCCACTTTGTTTTGCTAGGGCTAAAGAGAGAAACCCCATCACAAATCGCTGCCAGCTAGGTTTTTTCCCTCTCCCTAATTTCCTTCCCCCCAACGAGTAAAATCGACGAAAACCCTGGCCACCTCGTTGATTTCTTTGGTGAGCTAGAGTTATCTCTTTGCTCTTCTCCCGCCAGAAACTCACGCGGCCTTCTAAGACCTTGTATTCGAAGAAATTAGGGAAGGGGTTCTGATCTTTGCCGACGCTGTTCAGATTTAAAATTCCTTGATAACTCGTCCTCGATCTCATATTATGTAGTGGGGTTGCTTTGAAAAATTCAGATCTGAGCTTTGTTAGTGTTGTTGCTTTCAAAATCAATGTAAAATATGTTTTTTTAATTTTCAGATTATTAGTTTAATTTTTTGATTATTATATAGTATGAAGAATTTCTGGTCACTAGTGGTAATTTTAATTTTTTAAGTAATTTTTTCAGATCTGATTGAAAACCTAAAATTTTGAACTTTTGAGATGCCCAAGAATTAAACACCTTCAAAACCCATAGAAATCTATACAAAAAATAAAAAAATGAGATGATCAGATTGAGAGAAGTGAGGAACTTGGACTAAAAATGTGGATTTTATAGCTAAGAAACCAAAATTATGCATGGAAATTTCAAGTGACACAAAAAGATCAATTTTTTGTATTTTAATTATCTGATGATTAGATAGTATGAAAATGTTATTGTAGTATGTTGTTAATGCAATTGTTTTATTTTAGGAGCTAAAAGTTCATATCTTTGATATTTTTAAATGCTATTTATGTCATTATAATTTTTTTTGCTTAGATATTGCATTAATCCATGTTAGTAATTTGTAATTTGTTCATCACATGAATGTTCGCATATCTTCAATATGCAAATTGTTCAAGTTTTTAGTTACGTAAAAATTGCCACAATGCACATAAAACAATCACAATTGCTACATAAACAAGGTTAAATGTCAAATCTATGAAAATACATCAATTTGTAATATTTGAAAATATAGCAATTTGTTCGATTTTTGAATTACGTAAAAATTGCAACAACGCACATAAATAAACACAATTGTTACATAAACAAGGTTACATGACATATCTATAAACAAGGTTACAATTGTTACATAGTTTCAGTTTTGTGTTCTGATGCACTTTTGTTTTCACTTTCAGATTTGTGTTCATGGGTTGTTGTTCCTGAATGTTGGTATTTGTTTTGTGGGGTTCAGTCTTGGGCTTAGGTTTGTGAGAGAGGTTGTGTACATGAACTTTCTTAGTTTGTTACCAGCTCGGTTTTGTGTAGCTTGGTTGTGTTCAGGTTTGTTCTCGGCCAGTTTTTTGTATATGTGAGATGTTTTGTAAGCCTGGTTATGTTTAGTTTGTTACCAACTCGGTTTTGTGTAGCTTGGTTGTGTTCTTTTGTGTTCTCGACCAGATTTTTTGCATATGTGAGATGTTTTGTGAGCCTGGTTGTGTTCAGTTTGTGACCAGCCACTTGGAGCTCTATATGTGTTCAATTTAGCCTGTGATGAGTGTTAATTTTCCTGAGATTAACAACCTGCAATATCTGCTGATATTGCACTGAATGACTAACAATGATGATATTGAATAAGTTCTGAGCCCACAGTCATAATTTGCATATACGTGTGGTTGATTTATTTGACATGACGTCAAGAATTATTTTCATTTTCATGGTTTTTTGCACATATAGTTCATCAACATGCATAAATTATCAAATTTGATGGGATTTGGTATGTTATATACATATTTATGGCCATTCCGGTTGTTTATATGTTTTTATAGGTTTCAGAAGATTTTTTTGGCTAATTTAGGTATGTACTACATAAATATATGAATAATTAGGTTATTACAGGTGTCGTTTTTTCTTGAAAAACAAGTTTCATATGATTATTTCAATCTCAAACAGGTATATTTCAAGTCAAATCAGGTGCGCAGTTCATAACAATTGATTCATTCCATTTCAGGTTTCGTATGATTTTGTTAATACAAACAGAAATTTATAATTCATTCGGGATAGCGATATTTGTTCATGTTACATTCGTACTTTTATATGATTAAGATTACCTCATATAACGAACACAAATAAGTTTGTATATGGTGGGGGTAATCTTACCATGGTGACCATAAACACTTTTCCCTACAAACTTCAAAACCAACGAAACACAAGAATAGTTAGAAATGTCAAATCAACAAAAGTTTTTTCTTTTTTATGCAAACCAAACACAGAAAATTAAATACATTGGTTTCCCACCAATTTTTATGTGCGAGCCAAACCGAAACAATCTATTTCTTAGAAAAGTTTAAAAAACTCAAAACTTATATTTTTTTATATGAAATTACATTTCCCTATATTAGGAATCTAACCAAACGGCCCCTAAATTCATGCTAAACCCCCTTTTAGCTGCTAATCAGAGCTTGTCACATCTGGCGCGAACGCGAATGACGTGGCAACCGATCAGTTGGGGCCCTCATAAACAAAGGCCGGTTTTCCCGCGAAAACTCCTCTAGCGTTTCATTCTCCCTTCCCTCTCACCTCAAAACTTCCTGATTTCTCGTCTTCTTCGCTTTCTCTCTCCTCTATATTCGTTTCGAATTTCTAAAATTTATCAAATTTTGTATTTTCCCCCCTTCATTTGGTTTGGGGAATTGGGCAAATTCCTCAAAACCGACATGGGCCCTCGCTAGAGCAAACCCTAGGTTAGCTTTCTGATCCTCTTATATCCCCTCTTTTCTTCAATTCCGATCTCTAGGGTTGGCATTGAGGTTCCATTAGGGATAATCTATTTCAAATTCCTTATTTGGGATCGATTTACTTAAATTTCTGGGGGGAAATGCCTTTTTTGAGGAAATTGGAGGCTTGATGAATTTGTGGATGGGTTCATGATCTCTTCTAGCTTGGTTTTTGTGCATTGCTGAGCTTCAAAATGATGTGTTGTGGAGGAGTAGAGGATGATATTTACAGTCAGCCCGTTAACCCAGCCGTGCCACCACCAGGCCGAAATGCCCCTGGTAAATTTCCCAATTTTGTTTTGCATATATGTAAACTTTTTGGGTAATTTTCACAAAATATGCCATGAAAAGAAACTATCCAATTAGCAAAAATTATCACATGCCATCGGAATACTATGGGGATACCTGAAAATCATGGTAGTTCACTGACTAGTTTTCTGATTTTAATTCCTGAATCGTTTTTTTATAGTATGTGACACTTTTAGGATCGATGAAGCCTTCTGTACTTTCTTCATGGAAAGAGACTTCATCCCTAGGCATTTATGAGCATTGTTTTGAGGTTGGGGATATCGAGGTCCAATGTCGCAGCTATGTATTGGCCTGCCTGAACACTGAAATTCAGAGAATGCAACGTTTCAATTAGCTATTCAATATTTGACATTTTAAGTATATTCTTCCTTCAAAATATTAACTCTTGATGTCCTAGTGGAATAATGACGAAATTGCGCCATAAAATCCATGTAATGTCTATTAACTTGAAACTAAACTTACATACGACTTTTTGATGTCACGAGATAGTTATGTAGGACAAACTATGTAGCTGAAGGTTACCTAAACCCACAAGTTAAATATCACTATGATTGTGAGTGGCTTAGGTAAATGGCAATCAGATGAATGTGCAATTAGTTTAGCTTTGTAATATTTTAATTGTTTATCAGGATATTTTGAGAGCATGTCAGTTAAGTTCTCGCATATATCAGCATAAATTTTTTGGTTGGTAATGTGTAACTCCTGCCTCTAATTTTAGATGTGGAAGGGCAAGGCAGATGATGTCCTCTAAAAGTACTTTGTTGTGTAGAAAAATATTAACTGCAACCATCAAGTTCCTAGTTTCTATAGTGGCTAATCGATTAAACTTTTTCAGCCAAAAGGGTCTGAGCCTGTGATTTATTGATAGTACTATTAGTTTAATGTTAACAGTCATATTTCCTTATCTGGATTTGGAATCTCAACAAATAGATGATCTTTAGTTGGATCAAAACCATTTGTCAATAATGCTGAAAACCTTTCTGAATGCAGATCATTTTTACTCCATTTATATGCAGGCATTTACCAGTGTCCATACTACTAGAGATAATGTCATTACAGTTTTAATATCTTAGGCTTCCTTAATTCTATATTTTCTATTATAGTGATTGGTTTAAATTGAACCTATGTTTTTCTCTTCTATTTGGGATTTTCTTAAACTAATTCGATAATGCTCTTTTATTCTTGTATGTCAGGTAATGATGGCGAGCGAAGAGGTCCTGCCAAAACAGGTGCTCCTAAAAAAGCTTTACCTATCGAGATACCGTCCATACCATTGGCTGAGCTGAAGAAATTGACTGGTAATTTTGGGCAGAAGGCTTTGATTGGAGAAGGTTCCTACGGTAGGGTTTTCCATGCAACTCTAAGTACAGGAGAATCTGCTGCTATCAAAAAGTTGGATCCAAGTGCATCACAAGATTCAGATGCTGATTTTGAAACTCAGGTGGAATGCTTTCCACGGCATTTGTATGGTTATTTCTGTCCAAAGCTGTTATCAAGACGGTCCATGTCTGATATGCTTACTGACTGGGGATGGAAATGGTCTTATCCAAGCAGGATTCAATCTTTTAATTATCATCTCCTCTGTCAAGTTAACTATTATCATATTCTTCTTAGTTGCTTTCAACTCGGTTTTTAAATCCGTCTCTAGTTCTTTTTGCCTCATTAGCTATAATCATATAGGTTATTCTAAATGGTGTATATAGTGGCCTCTGTTGTATATGATCAAAGAAACTACAATTGATTCTCTCTCATATTATCCTCACTAAGAGCACCTCTCTTGCAAGTGAACTTATTTCTCATCCTATCTCTTAATGTATATTCTTAAGACCATCATAACATTCTAATTTATGCTAATCATTTTTTTTTGACACGTTCTTCAGCCCAGTATTCTAATCCGCGAAGCACTGTTGGTCTTATAATTGTCCTATAGAATTGTTTCTTCAATTTCATAATATTCGTACATATATAAATGGTCTTATCCAACCTGAAATTCCAATATTGTTGACTATTTGAATGTGAAAGACTCATGAAAACTTGGTTTCTTTATTTTATTTTTATTTTTATTCTTTTTACATGAAACTAAAATGTCCATATTGTCTTTGTTTACTTTAAGTTTTGTGAAGCAAGTTTTGATTATCTAGAATTTTTTCCATACCCTAACACAAATTAAGAAGTTATCTGGTCAATTTTGGACCCTAGCCCATTTGTGTTCTAATTGTTGGCTTTTCACTGTTTTTCATATCAAATATCATTTTAGCCCTAGCATTGAGTAAAAGCATCACTTTGCTCTAATTATTTTCATTCAGGCAACTTTTCTTAGTTCTAATTGCTTTCCTTCATCATTATTGATGTAGATATCAGCAGTTTCCAGACTTAAGCATGAGTATTTTGTGGGGTTGTTGGGCTACTGCATGGAGAGGGAAGACCGGATATTGGTATATCAGTTTGCAACACTAGGTTCCTTACATGATACTCTACACGGTAACATTTGTTTTTCCCTTTTTTCATTAAATGGAATTTTATGCTAAAGATATATTCGCAATTAATCTGAGATTTGCATTTTCTGTAAATTTCTACATGTTCCAACTTCAAGATGTAATAGTGGACAAACGTGCACCTGAACTGATTAATATATATATGAGGGGTAAATTTCACAAGACTATCATGAAGATTGGTGGGTTTTGCAAAAAGACTAACATAAACTCTTTAGGGGAGAAAACTAAAAATTAATGAAAATATTATAAATTATTGGAAACGGTTTAAATATCTTAGAAAAATATCTAAAATACCGTTAGCTGAACTTATCAAACCATAGCAAGTTTATAAGACAATATAGATGTATAAAGTACATAAGGGCAAGATGGTCACGTGCAATGCATGTGTCAAGTGTCAACTTGTATATATCTGCCACCAGGCAAAGGTATTTTGAAAAATTCATGGTAGTTTTCTCTAAGTTTTTTTGTTTGTAATTTTGTGCAAAAAACCTTTACGTTTGGTGTTTTGTGAAAGGTTAATTTGCGAATATATCTGCTGTATTATCGCCCAATTAAGGATAGACACCCTGTAGTTCTGCTGTTGCTGATAGAACTCTTGACTTTTTTTACTTGCTTACCCTCAGAGAAAGATAATTTTTTATATAAATAAACCTCTTGAGGATAAAAGAGTCAAAAAAATTTCACTCAAAGGCTCTCTTCACAATTGGGCGATAGTAGAGGGAGTCGATCTGCACTTAACCCTATGTGAAATTTACCCATATATGAATTTCCTTTCATAATAAAAGAAGAAAGAGAATCGATAACTTTTCACATCTCAAATTGTCAAAATTATAGGATGGTTAATTATTTTGTTTGTGGTTATATGACATCATCTTTAGTTGTTAGACTTATTTTCATTTTCTTCTGTTAAACGTGAGTTTCTTTTTTTTTTATACAGGAAGGAAAGGGGTACAGGATGCTGCACCTGGTCCTGCTCTAAGCTGGAACCAAAGGGTAAAAATTGCTTATGGTGCAGCAAGAGGTCTTGAGTATCTGCATGAAAAAGTGCAGCCTCCAATTGTACATCGAGATGTCAGATCAAGCAATGTTCTTCTTTTCGACAATTATGAGTCTAAACTAGCTGATTTTACTTTATCTAACCAGTCTCCTGATACAGCAGCTCGTCTGCATTCAACTCGTGTTTTAGGAACTTTTGGCTACCATGCTCCAGAGTAAGTTTTTTTCGTCATAATGTAAAGATTAAGTATCACATGATTTAAATTCAGACTGAAGGCAAAGTTATCAAAGATTTTGTCAAAAGACAGTTAAGCATGAGAAATGATATAAGTTGAAGATATCAATTTCAAGCTCATATTCCTTTAGTGTGCTCATAAATGTGATATCTGTAACTGCAGCAGAAATGAAATGTGATATTTATGAGTCCATTTTCTCTGGAATTTTAGCAATCACTTCTATATTATAGACTATTGGTTTTTGTAGAAAATATTACACTATAAAACATTCTTAAGTATTTTTCCTCTTCTGTAAATTTTTTCCCCTAGGTATGCTATGACTGGGTGCTTGACTCAGAAAAGTGATGTTTATAGCTTTGGGGTCATTCTTCTAGAACTTTTAACCGGACGAAAGCCAGTGGATCATACAATGCCTAAAGGACAACAGAGTCTTGTTACTTGGGTGAGCTCACTGCTTATTAAGTGATGCTACTTCCTTAGATCTCTCTTTATATTATCTTTCTTAAACTTATAACAATACAGGCAACTCCAAGGTTAAGTGAAGATAAAGTTAAGCAATGCATTGATCCAAAGCTAAATAATGATTATCCTCCGAAAGCTGTTGCAAAGGTATGATTCTACACTCTCGTATGAAAGAGTTGATTTCTTTCATAGGCTTTCAAGCCCTTCCAGTTCAGTATTATTCTCTAGAATGAATATATACTCGTGCGGAAAGAAACTTATGAACAATTTTCAATTTTTTAATTTAGAAAATCATGAAAAACTTGTACGTTACTCTTTTTACACTTGAGCTTTGTTATTTTCTACAGTATCTTTTTTCTTGTTTTATTCATGTATTTTCTGGATATAAATGCAATTAAATCACATATCCAGTAAGAAACAATCTTGATTATGTTTGTCCGAAGTTTGAGCTGTTGAGGATAAAATGAGAGATAATCACTTGATTATGTTTCGTCATGTGTAACAGAAATAATTTAATGGGGGGAGGAGGACCGTGTTAGGGTACACACCAATAAGAACACCTCAAACAAAGACGCAAAACACACCCAAACTATCTTGGAATCACAGAATAAAACTTGCAAACACGAATTTAATCACAGTACTCACAGATATAACGTGGTTCACTCTTACGGAGCTACTCCACAGTACAACGATGACGCCAAATTCCTTTATATTCTTTTCGAGGTTACAAAGGAAAAAGATAAAAGAGAACACCCTCTCTTGATCAAGATACTCTCCAAGAATTCTCACAAACTCTCTCTCAAGATCTCTCAATGATATTACTTATATCTGTATCTTTCTCTTTCTTTCTCTGCTACTGAGATCCTTTACAAATCAAACTTAGGAGAGTATTTATAAGTTTTTTCTCATGAGGGTAGGTGAACACTATTTGGGGTAGGTGATCATTGTAGCAGGGGATAGGTGAACACTATTTGAGGGTAGGTGAACACTGTAGCAGGGTTAGGTGAGAAGGCTATCCACACAGCCTCAACGTTTTCAACAGACCGGAGGTTGGTCTATGTAAACTTGATTAGTGTTTAACGTTTAACTAAGGAGATAGCCCTTAATAGAAGTGAATGGAATAATAATATTCATGTACCCACCTTCAAGTTTTCGGATAAAGGCTTTATAGTTATTGTTGTTTATCACACATGCAGATATACATAAAATTTCCAAAATAGATTTAATTGCAGATAGACCCTCTGTACTATTGCCAAATTGAACTTATTACTTCTATGGTTCTATTGTCGCAGACAGACCCCACTGTTTTTACTTTTTATTTTTATTTTTGACTCTTTTCAGGGGGTCCATCTGCAACAATAGAATTCTTTAGATTCTATTTTAGCTATAGCACAGGGGATTTATCCGCAATTAATCCCAAAAAGTATTATGCTGAAATTTCCTAGGTCAATACTTATTCTATAATCTTGAACTTTTTAAACTAGTTTTCTCATGAGTTACATATGTTTCCATGACTTCCAATCCTCAGATGGCAGCAGTTGCAGCACTTTGTGTTCAATACGAAGCTGACTTCCGACCTAACATGACAATTGTTGTGAAAGCCCTACAACCTCTTCTTGCGAAACCCGGTGGAGATCAGCAAGCATGATTGATGACTCTGTTTTCTGAATCGAAGGAAATCTGTATGAACTGATACCAATCTTCATTATGACATTCAGACAAGCATTAAAGAGATAAACTCATGTTTTTATGAATTGTGTGGATGAGGATTTTATAAATGTGAGATGAGATCAGAGGGATAATGTGTTGAGAAAGAGAGAGAAAGATGAATGCAAGAGCTACTTACGTCTGATATTTGCAGTGATAACTATTTGACCTCAGTTCTACAAGTGCTTTGGATTGCAGAGTTTTATATGAAATTATACCAACATACTTGATGTATTATATTGTAATATACATGCATTACCGCGATAAGCTCACGTTTCATAATTCAATGGACAAAGACTTGTAAAATTGAGGGACGCCACTGTTAGAGCTAAATATAACTGATATTGAGAATTTTTTTTTTTTTTTTCATATATAAGTTATATTCATTTAAATTCAATCTAATCGATTTGTTGCTTTTGACATCAAAGGGCGCTGTTCTGGATACAACGAGAGCATAATGAGCTTGATTCTTTATGCGTAGTTATGTGGGTGGACTGATCCAATATTATGCACACGAAATTCATTTTATGTTTCTCACGGAAATGCAAGCATGCAAAGATAGTGGACATGATATTAGCTGATAAAATTTGGCATCAAAGTGGTTTTAAAAAAATAACCCTCAATTTTATTTTGGTATAATTTCAAAAAAAAAAAAAACGTCAAGAAATTTGTCCCATTTTGACAGGCTGAACTATCTTCTTCTACTTCTTGTTTTTTTATTCTTAAGAGTCCGACATGAGTGTACTTCGGTGACTTGGCTTAGTTAAATTAGATGGGATAAATGTGTGTTGGGTTTCTTTGACAAATCCTCTCTCTTGGAATTTGAGCTTGAACGTGAAGAGGGCATATGTTGGATATCATGCAATATGAAGATGAGATCGAGAAGGTGGAACTTTGATTTCAATCTTAACCCTAACATTCTCAATTTGAAGATGAGATTAAGAAGAGGGAACTTTGATTTCAACCTTTAACCCTAATTTCTACCCTACGTTTGAACGGGGAGGAGGGAAATGAGAACATGTTTCTCACGTGCTTCAACTAACTCTTGCCATTTAAAATAAGGACAAATTTTCAAAACAAACTCTTTTAGGTTTTTATTTGCAAAAAACGACCTCTTTTGAAAAATTTTACAAAAACCGACCTGTTTTCAGCCCAGCGCTGAAAACAGGTCGGTTTTTATAAAAAAAGTTCCGAAACTTCACGGGACTTGAAGTCCCGTGAAGTTTAACAACTATTTTGTTAAGTTGCTAAACTTAGGTTTAAACTTTCCCGTGCATCTCTCTGCTTCAGCCATTATAGCTATCGGGCTCAAAATCAAAGCTCGCCAAAAATAATAACACATTAGAAGAAGAAAATGACCGATGTAATGAACCAAGTCGGATCCCTCTCCATCAGAATCACAGATCCACTTCCGAATCCTCCACTTCCAAGCCTTGGGATCGCCGGCGACCTCCTCCTCCGAAGCGGTGGCCACCATGGAATCTCGAGCCTCGGCGTCGAGGCGGAGGCTGTTGACCTTGAATGCCGCAGAATCAATGGAGGAGGAGGAGGAGGTTGAGAAAGGAAGCTCGTTTTCTCTTTGATGATCTCTTGCTGTTTGTGGAATTTGGGAGCTTTATAGTTCGTTTCATAAATCTCAGCTTTGTGAAGAATTTAGAGAGAGGAGAGAGAGAGAGAGAGAGAGTTAAAAGAGTCTAACAACGATAGCTGGGGAGTTGAGCTTAGCGAGTGCAGAACCGGGCGGCGGTGTGGTTTCCACCCACGAGGGGCGACACGGGGTGTTTGGAGGCGGAGCGGGAGGAGGGAGCAGCTGACGGAAGCGGTGGATCTTCATTGATTTTGGGTTCGGTAAACAGGGAACGAAGATGACCAAAATTGTACTGTGAAGCTTCACGGGAGTTCAACTCCCGTGAAGTTTAGCAGATTAATTAAAAGCTGCTAAGCTTCACGGGAGTTCAACTCCCGTGAAGTTT